GATGCCCCCCACCGCGCCCTGGCATCCCCAGGCTTCTGATTCTTTTCTTCAAACCCCCAACCCGACAATTGCTGGCCTGCAACTTACCGATGCCCCCCACCGCGCCCCGGCATCCCCAAGCTTCTGAAACTCTGTTTTTCAGACCCGCAACCCGACAATTTCTGGCCTGCAACTTACCGATCCCCCCCACTGTGCCCCGGCATCCCCAAGCTTCTGGAATTCTTTTCTTGGGGACCCCCAGCCTGACAATTTCTGGCCTGAAACCTACCGATACCCCCCACCGCGCCCCGGCATCCCCAGGCTTCAGGAACTCTGTTCTCGGGACCCCCAACCCGACAATTTCTGGCCTGAAAGCTACCGATGCCTCCACCGCGTCCCGGCATCACCAAGGCTTCAGGAACTCTGTTCTTGGGACCCCCAACCCGACAATTTCTTGCATGAGACCTACCGATGCCCCCCACCGCGCCCCGGCATCCCCAGGCTTCTAGAACTCTGTTGTTGGGTCTTCCAACCCGACAACTTCTAGCCTGAAGCCTTCCGATACCCCCACTGCGCCCCGGTATCCCCAGGCTTCTGGAACTCTGTTCCTGGGACCCCCAATCCGACCAGTTCTGGCCTGAAGCCTACCGATACCCCCCACCGCGCCCTGGCACCTCCAGGCTTCTGGAACTCTGTTCTTGGGACCCCCAACCCGACAATTTCTGGCCTGAAACCTGCCGATGCCCGCCACCGCGGCCCGGCGCCCCCAGGCTTCTAGAACGCTGTTCTGGGGACCCCCCACCCGACAATTTCTGGCCCGAAACCTACCGATGCCCCCCACCGCGCCCCAGCGTCCCCAGGCTTCTGGAGATCTGTTCTCGGGACCCCAACCCGACAATTTATGGCCTGCAGCCTACCGATGCCCCCCACCGCGCCCCGGCATCCCCAGGCTTCTAGAACTCTGTTGTTGGGTCTTCCAACCCGACAACTTCTAGCCTGAAGCCTTCCGATACCCCCACGCGCCCCGGCATCCCCAAGCTTCTGGAACTCTGTCCTTGGGATCCCCAACCCGACAACTTCTCGCCTGAAGCCTTCCGCGCCCCGGCATCACCAAGGCTTCAGGAACTCTGTTTTTTGGGACCCCCAACCCGACAATCTCTGGCCTGAAACCCACCCATGCCCCCACCGCGCCCCGGCATCCCCGGCCTTTGGCCTGAAATCTACCGATGCCCCCTACCGCGCCCCGGCATCCCCAGCATCTGGAACTCTCTTCTTGGGACCCCCAACCCGACAATTTCTGGTCTGAAAGCTACCGATACCCCCCGCCGCGCCCCGGCATCCCCAGTCTCCAACCCGACAGTTTCCGGCCTGAGACCTACCTGAAGGCATTGGAAGTTAGTAACTGTTAGGCGGAGTTATAATTTAGTTATAACTCAGTTATAAAAGTTAGCATGTTGATTTATTTCGGATAACATGATAGTTTTTCGGCTAACATATACTTGATTTGGGGGCGTTCAATGCCGTTTCAATTTCGATGTTGTGTTTCTTGCGGGATGATTTGAAGATGTATTCATTGATGTGAAGATTTTTACTTCTACATCGCAAACGCGTCAGCATTCCAATTTGCGATACTCAACTGGCCAAATGCAAGTGATTGCATCGCCGAGACGCCAGTTAATCACAGGGTGCCTCAGCGAGTCCAAAGGAATGAGCACGTGAGTAGTATCTTCGTCTATGGAGTACCTAGAATAGTAATCTGCGCTGTGCACGTGCCGAGTCTGCAATTCCAAGAATAAGCATAGAGGCCCTGAGGGCGCAGTCTCTGTGTCGCAATCTACATGGAACCAGACCTGCACGGCTGCATGTCCTGCAGCACGTCCCAGCAAGCATATGTCTCCTCTATGGATCGGCCCGTACTTGGTCCACGCCGTGAGGCTCGATGATGCCGATTGCGTCTGCGGACGCAACTCCTTCAAGACGCCCATGAGCTTCTTGGTGGCGGCTACGGGGTCGACCAGCGTCGTTGAGATGCTGAAGTGCTCCATGTCGTAACTGTGCTGCGCCGTGAGCTGCATCATCAATGACTTCTCGCCTCATGCACAGATGGTCCTTTGCAAACTTCTTGCAAACTTTGTGCTTCCGCTCGTGGACGAAGCAGTTCAAGGGTCCGAATTTGAAGTGCATGTCGGCAAGATGAGTTGCCATATGGTGTTTGTAAACCCAATATTTAGTCCCGTATGTGCGCGTGTGTAGCTCCAAATTCATCGCGGCGACATCCAGCTCACGTGCAGTCGCGAGGCCCCTGGACGAGAGAATAACCATATCAATGGCATCGCACAGTGCAAGTAAACTTGCAATATGACCCGAGATGGTGCCTGCATCAGGCAGCTTGGCAATGACTTGCCTGATGAAACGCGCCAGCACGGGAATCATAGACAGCTCTTGCGATGCGTTTGCTTGTAGTTCGCCCTGTGCGAACACGGCATTGGCGGCATGAAACTTGTGGGGCCATGTCCAGTTGGAAAGATAGTCGTTGAGATCTTCGGCGCTGCAGAGTTTGCCAACCGCCTTGTTCTCAGTGAAAGATTTCACTTCTTTAGCTACGATGCCGTTGACGCCATAGATGTGCATCCAATCGAAGCAGAGGAGCGACATGACACCGTAGGCGAGGTTGGCGTCCAAGGCAACGTGCGTCGGATGAAAGTTCCAACCCTTTAGCTGCGTGATCTGCTTCCACTTGTTGTCGCTAATCTCACCGCGGTCGTACCTCTCCCAGTCGGGGCGTAGCCTTTTCCAAGATAGCAACGATCTGCGCGTCTGCGTTGACGACGCGTTTGCTTCTGTCGAGGCCTGCGTCCGATATACATGTACCAGACGTGTCGCGCGACGCATAGTCGAACTTCTGGTTGAGCACGTTCCTGCAGATGGCACACGGTTTGGTGCCCGCGTGCCCTTTGCTCATGTGGAATTCACGGAGGGCTTCTTCGTCGCCCACAGTGCAGCCCAACCTCGCGATTATAGCCGCGTGCCTTGTGGCATCCCCTGCTTCTGACACGTCCAAGATAACTCCAGTCGTACGAAAGTTCACCCCGCCAGACGTATTGAACATGAGCTCGTTGCACGTCATTGCAACCGACTGCCCGATCCCTCCAGGCATGTCCCTCACTTTGGAAACCCGAGCGGTGCTGAGCACGAACCATGAACTTCATCGCCTTGGTGAAAGCCTCCTGGCGCGTGCTGCCCGTGCCCCAGCGGATGCGCCTGTCGGACCGCCCCAGGACAGCCCTGTACTGGGACTTGTCTGGCTGCGCGAGTATACACCCCGCGCGGTACTCGATCTTCGGGGCCCCCGTCAGCGGGGCCTTGGGCAGCGGCTTCGGCTTCGCCGAGGGCCTCCTCATGACCACCTTCATGGCCTTCTTCGGCGGGGCGCCCTTCATGACCTTCTTCGGCGGGCCCCCCTCCTCGTCGGCGAGTTCGTCGCCGTCGTCGTCGGCGCCCTCGACGCCATCGGCATCGCCCCCAGCAGCTGCTGGACGTTTACTCAGGGCCACGGCCTCCTTACGCTTGCGCATTGTCTTGCGAAGCGCTGCCTCCTCATCAGATAAGTCGCCGAGCGGGGCGGGCGTTCCTCCCGCGGCTGGTGGGGCCGCAGGCGGGGGCGCCTCCTGTGGTGAGGGCGTATCTTGCGGTGGCGCCTTGGGCTTCGGCATCATCCCTGGCGGAGGCGACCAAGAGTGTGACGATTGGCCAGGCACCATCCCTGGCGGAGGCACCATTCCTGGATGAGCGTACATATGGTACGCGTTCATCGTCCCGCACATGGATTGGTAGGCGCCGAAGTCGCAAATGGCGGGGGGCGGGGCGGTCGGCGGCGGCGGGGCGGGGCGGTCGTCCCGCACTTGCTTGGCCGCGTGCTTGCCGCACTTCATCAGGCGACTGCTCAGTCGCACGAAGTCGGGCTCGTCGATGTACCAGTCCTGCCCGCGTGGCGGGCCCCCCTCGGGGTACGCGGTATAGTACCGCGATTCGCTCTCGAGGGAGTCTGGAGAATCGGATTCCCATATAGTTCTGTGTTTCCAGTCTCGTGCCTTCATGGTAGCCAGCTTCAGCTTGACCTGCACCAGAATGTCGTACCACCTGTCGTTGGTAACGCCAGTGGGTTGGGACGATACCACCGCTGCGAGTTGACCCTTGCTCCCCTCGGACAGAGTGCACATACCGATCGCATGAGCCCTCTTGCACACCATGGCGATCATCGCCTTCTGCGACATGTCGCCGCTCTTTAACTTGGTCGCCTCAGACGCCGAAAGGAAGCGCGAGAATGCAGTTACCTTCTGCCACTTCTTATCTGCGGTGCTGGTCAGCACACCCGTCTTCTGCCCTACCGCCGTGCAGATTTCTGCAATCTGATCAGGGGACCAGTCTGGGAGCGCATTGTCCCGAATTGTGCCCACCAAGAGCGTAGCGTCGTCAGTGCTGATCGTTCCGATGGATCGCACTCTCGACAACAGCGACTGCATCTGGTTGTCGGCGCATGTCTTTGCGTCGAGTCCGCAGCCGACTTGGGTATGATGCCAATCAATCATATGATTGAGTTCGGCCAGCACATCACGTATCGACGTCATTGCTGCTACGCAGCAGAAAGCGATATGCAATTTCGCAAAACTGTTTGAGCCAAAATGGTTACGGAGCCCGCGACGATGACGCGTGCACGCTTGGCGATGAGGCGAAGGTCAACAGGGGTGCCGAACAAACCAACAGCGCGAGGGTTGGTAGTCCTCTCGGGGGGTCGGTAGTCCTCTCGGGGGGCGGGGGGGGGGGTCAGCCATCGTCGTCGCCACGGCTGGGCGCAGCTCGACAAACACTGACTTGCAAGGGTCCACCCCCTTGCTCGGCATGCTAATCAGATATAAGGCATGATTGGCGTGACCACTGATCATTTGACGTGGACCATTGCGAATCTGAACATACCATCGCACTTGCGAAACCTCGCCCGACGCGGCCCCAGCGCGGCACGCTCAGCGCGGCATGCGCTCTGATTTGATGCTCGCGTGCTGCTCGCACGCGTTCTCCCACTCAGCGCGGGCATCGATGCGATCACCGATCGACTCCATCCACTCGCCCTTGGCCTCCTCCATCTTCTTCTTGGCGGCCTCGAACTTCTTGAACTTCTCGAGAACCTGGGAACCGTGCGCTAAAACAAAACACATATATACAGGGCACAGGCATTCCATGCCATCCAATTCAAATGCAATTGCAATTGCTAGTGCGGTGGCTAATGTCATTGCAATGAGTGTCTAACGTGTTTTCACACGAGGCCACCTTCTTCGATGCACACAAGAACTCGGCCTTGCATGCTACCTTGGTGATGTTAGCGTTGGTCAGCCTGACATGTTTGTCCCCCTTTCAGTCCTGGCGAGCCTGGGCATCCATCGCGATCGTCTTGCGGGACTTGCCCATTGCCCCTCCACAGTTGAACCGATAACTTGTGCAAAACCTATTGCAACTGAGCCGATAAGCCACACATCCCCCACTCCCCCCTAACAATTGACCCCAGATTTGCAATGGTTGCAACGCTGCCCGACGAGCTCGATCCAGGCATTGTTTTCTTAGCGCATGGCGCGAAGCGCCCGCCCTCCCCGCGACAGGCACAACTCTTGGGAAACGGTGTTTACACACTCGGACCTAATTGCGTATCCACGCACTCACGCGCCGAAGCCTAAGGCCTTGCGCCCCCGTGCTCTGTACAAGCCCCCTGTGTCGATTACCAGCTTCCTTGCCCGATCGTGCTGCCCATGCAAGTCCACGGCGTGCTCACACGCTTGCAGCCAAGCGTACTCGGCGTCCTCGGCCTTTTTCTTGGCCTTCTCGCACGCCTTGAAGCACTGCATCACCTCACACCGAACGGGCGGGGCATGTCGGAGGGATGGTGGTGGGGGAGGGGGGGGGGGGGGAATAGGTGTGGCGATAGGCGTCACCACGCCCGCCGTGAGACGCACAACCAGGCGGGATCACGCCGACAACATCAGACACACCCCACAACCTAGCCCAGAACTATCATATCACGCCGCTCTTCTAGTGTACATACACCGCACCAAACAACAATATCATATCTGCATGCATATGCAAGCATGTCCCGACAGCGCGCGGCGCGGCGACAAGGTCGCCTTGCGGTCCATCTGCTTCGCCTTCTTGAGGCTGTTGGCCTTGTGCTTGATGGCGGCGTCAAGCTGCTGGTTCCTAAACAGTCTATCTTCATGGCGATGCAGGGCTCGGAGTGCTTTGATATATTCATGCATGCGCGGCATTGTGGCTATAGAGAAGAGAGACGGGCGCGATCTGTGCCAGAACACTGCGACGATGATCGCATACGTCGACGATGTGCGATCGCTGTCTGAGCAGCGTGATCTCCACCACCCCCGTCCTCGTCATCATTGGTATCCTCGTCCTCATCCCCCTCGCCATCCCCCGTATATGTTGGCACAGAACGGCTATCAGCCCAGCCCGCCCACCGCCGACCTCCCCGCCCGAACTGGCGTCAATTAGTGACGGCTCGTCCTCGGCTTATGCTGGTGGTGGATCGTGGCGGAGCGGCCCCGTCGAGGATACGGCGGACCGCATGGTTGCTGTTATGAACCAGCAGCTCGAGTCGACTGATGACCATCGCCGTGGGATCGTCTCCGTAGTTGATCGCGCCCTGAAGCAGCGCGATGATTACATCAAATGGCTGATTGACCAGATTCAGAGCAAAGACGCCACGATCGAAGCCCAGAAGGCCACGATCGAGAGCCAGGCCGCCACTATCGCGAGCCAGGTCGCCACGATCGCGAACATTCGCGAGGGCCAGGACCGCGTCGCGAACCTTCGCGATGACCATGAGGGTCGCGATTGCGGGGATGATGGGCGGCGGTGAGACGGCGCAGCCGATGCGGGGGATAAGGGCGACGGCGGCGACGGCGACGGCGGCGACGGCGACGGCGGCGGCGGCGGCGGCGACGGCGACGACGACGGCGGCGACGGCGGCGGCGGCGACGGCGGCGACGGCGACGACGTCGGCGGCGACGACGGCGGCGGACGACGACGACGACTGCGGCGGCGACGACCACGATGCAGGACGACGACGACGACGACGGCGACGACGACGACGGCGACGACGGCGACGGCGTCGGCGGCGACGACGGCGGCGGGCGACGACGACGACTGCGGCGGCGACGACGACGATGCAGGATGACGGCGACGACGACGGCGACGACGACGACGGCGACGACGACGGCGGACGCCGACGACGACGACGGCGAATGCAACAACTCAGGACACCTCAGGACACCTCAGGGCACCTCTGAGGTGACAACACCAGGGCGCCTCAGGACACCTCAGGGCACCTCTGAGCTGACAACCCCAGGAGACCTCAGGGCACCTCGGGGCACCTCAGGATGCTGAGGGGGGGGGGAGGAGGAGGATGGAAGTGGAGGAGGCGGAGGCGGATGAGGAGGAAGAAGGAGGAGGAGGAGGAGGAGGGGGAGGCAAAGGATGAGGAGGAGGAGGAGGAATAGGAGGAGGAGGGGATGAGAGGGGGGAGGGGGGAGGTCGATCGTTTCGCCGTCGATCGTGAGCCTCCGAAAAGTGCTCGGAGAAGCGGAGCGATCACGCTGAGCGGGAGCGACGCGCCCCTCAGCGATCGTCAAAAGGCCTCACGACCGATGCGGTGAACACCTCTGCAGGTGGACCGAGAAGCGTCGCAGGGGGTACCACTGTCAGACGACACGCGCGTCGTCTTTGAGATTCTCAAAGACGACACGCTGTCGTCTTTGAGATTCTCAAAGACGACGCGCGTGTCGCCTTTGAGATTCTCAAAGACGACACTTTGGTAATATGAAATCTAATAGAGATTTTGTCGCCTTTGAGATTCTCAATAACGACACGTTGTCGTCTTTGAGATTCTCAAAGACGACACCCGTGTCGTTTGACAGCGGTACCCTCTGCGACGACTCTTAATCCGCATTCGTGGCAGCCCTCAGCTGCTGTGAACCCCCGCAGCTTCGGCAGCAACTCCTGTGCTGAGTCGCCGCCGCGGGGGCCTCGACCCCTTCCGACGGGGCGCACCTCGCCGACCACGCGACGACGACGACGACGACAACGCTGACGACGACGACGACGACGACGACGACGACGACGACGACGACCACGACCACGACGACGACACGGTGGTCGCCGACGTGCGCCCCGTGATCACACGGAGCTTGAGCCCGCCGCGCTCGCCGCAGCGTAGTCGGCGACCGCTTTCAGCCACACCTGCGGCTGCGTGCGGCGGCTCCAGGCCGCGTACTTCTGGTCCTGCTCGGACAGGTCGCCCAAGCCCTGCAGGTGCTCCCGCACGGCCGACGCTTTGGCGAGGCGGATGTGCTTGCCCCCGCGGGGGCGGGGGCCGTCGCCCCCGCCCCCGTCCTTGCCGTCGCCGTGCTTGTGGCCGCCGTCGCCGTCCTTCTTGTGGCCGCCGTAGCCGTCCCTCTTGTGGCTGTAGTAGCCGTCGCCCTTGCCGTGGCTGTCGTAGCCGTCGCCCTTCTCGTGGCTGTAGTAGCCGTCGCCCTTCCCGTGGCCGTTGTAGCCGTCGCCTTTCTCGTGGCTGTAGTAGCCGTCGCCCTTGTCGCGGCCACGCCACTGCCCGCCGTCCTGGCCGTTGTAGCCGTCGCCTTTGTGGCCGTAGTAGCCGTCGCCCTTCTCGTGGCTGTAGTAGCCGTCGCCCGTCTCGTGGCCATAGTAGCCGTCGCCCTTCTCGTGGCCATAGTAGCCGTCGCCTTTGTGGCCATAGTAGCCGTCGCCCTTGTGGCCATAGTAGCCGTCGCCCTTCTCACGGCCGTAGTAGCCGTCCTTGGCCCACCAGCCGTCCTTGCCGTAGTAGCCGTTCTTGGTGTGGCCGCCGTAGTAGCCGTCCTTGTTGTGGCCGTAGTAGTAGCCGTCCTTGTTGTAGTAGCTGTCTTTGCCGCCGCGGCTGCAGCCGTCGTTGCCGTCCTTGTTGTAGTAGCTGTCTTTGCCGCCAGCGCCCTCGCTGCTGTCGTCGTGGCTGTAGTCGAAGTCGTTGCCGCCGTAGTGCGAGCCCTCGTAGTAGCGGCGGCTCTTACGGCCACTGCTATAGCAGTGGCCGTAGTAGCCGTAGCCCTCGGCGTCGCAATCGGCGGTGTAGCTCTCGCCCGCGCTGTCGTCGTAGCCACCGCCCTCAGCGTCGCCACCCTCGTACTCATCCGCCGCGGCGCCCTCGCAGTCGCCGTCGCCCTCGTCGACCGCGTCGCCGCCGCCCGCGGCGTCGTCGCCACCGCCCTCGGGGTCGTCGACCTCGAACTCGAGAAGGTCCTTCGTCGAGTTCATAGTCGGGTTCATGGGCGGCGCGAGGCTGAGCTTCTCGAGCAGCGAGTCCGCCACCGATCCGCGCCACGTCTGCACGCGAGTCTGTTGTGCCGACCAGCACATCGCCTTGCGCTTCTTCTCGGCGGAGGCCATGGCGGCCGCCGAGATGTGCCCTGGCGGAGCCGTCCGCGGCGCGGTCGGCCGCTTCTTCGAAGTCGGCTGCAGCCGTGGCTTCTCCTCCGCCACCTTCTCCCGTCGCTGCTGTATCTCGCTCGCCGCTGCGGACAACATTGCCACCTCGGCGGCGTCGTCGCCGCCACCGCTCATCCGGGCCAGGCGGGGGGGGGCGAGGCCGCGGCGGGCGTCGGGGGCCCCGCGCGGCGGGGGGGGCGAGCACCCTGTGGAGGAGCGGGCCCCGCGCCGTGAACCCACGGCCCGCGCGCCGCGGGCGTGGCTGAATACATGGGCCAAAACGGCGCCGGAAAGAAAGAGAGAGAGAAATAGAGAGAGAGAGAGAGAGAGAGAGAGAGACGCGGATCTTTATAGTTCCTCGTGCATCTTAGATGCACTCTACACATATACAGACCACGCAAAGCTTGCAGTACTGTACTCACCCGAAAGCCGAAATCTTTAACCTACGAAGCTCTACACTACTGTGCCGTTCGACATCAAACTACGATATTACAAATACCAAACATTATCTCGCCCTAACCGTCGCTAGTCCAACACCCATATCAATAACTCACGGCGTCGAGCGCACATAACAACACAATGGCTGTGGTTAAATAGTTTGCATACGCATAATGTGATTTGTGATGCTGACGCTAGCGTCTCTTAC